CCATCAGTACTCAGCAGTGCCACACATCAGTGTCCCCATCAGTGCTACCCAGCAGTTGCACCCATCAGTGCCCATCAGTGCTGCCAGCCAGTGCCGTCAGTCAGCGTCGCCCAACAGTGCCCATCAGTGCTGCCTATCAGTGCCCATCATTGCTGCATATCAGTGCAGCATTATCAGTGCCAACTCATCAGTGCAGCCTATCAGTGCCCATCAGTGCTACCTATCCATGCCACCTCATCAGTGCTGCCAATCAGTGCCCATCAGTGCTGCCTATCGGTGCAGCCTCATCAACACACATCAGTGAAGGAGAAAAATTACCTGTTTGCAAAATTTTATTATAGAAACAAAAACTTTTTTTTTTTTTTAATTTTTTGCTTTTTTTGTTTATAGTGCAAAAATATCACCAAAAGAAAGCTCTATTTGTGTGAAAAAAATGATAAAAAATTAATGTGGGTACAGTGTTGCATGACTGTGCAATTGCCATTCAAAGTGTGACAGCACTGAAAGCTAAAAATTGACCTGGGCATGAAGGGGGTAAAAGTGCCCAGTAGGCAAGTGGTTAATGAGGTTAACAAGCCATCAAAGGCACAAAATCTAAGGGTACCTCTGGTAAGGTTCAGGTTATGAGGCCACTTTGCAATTCCTCTAAGCAATCAATGTTTACATATACTTTGCCTTTTTTTAATGTGAAATCTATAGACACAATGGAGACACACACACAAAACACCTGGCTACACACCCCATTAAAACATTTCAGGACATAAGAAGGTCTGTGTAAAAAGATTTTTCACTCTCCAACTTTAATAAAACAGCCTGGAACTATTTATTTTTTGTTTTTGTTTAGAGTAGGGAAGGGTTAGAAGATCTACAAAGTTTTATTGCTGTGTGTAACTCCATGGTGAAGATTTGTCTTCACTGGGTGCATCAATGAAATCCTTGTGATGCCAGGACAAATAGTATAGGTAAACAAGTTACGAGGACAGATAGGTACACAAAGCAATTACATCTTTACTGAGGTTGTAGGTACAAGGGTTTCCCTCATGTACCAAAAATGTGTTTCTGTTGTCTCTGTCCCATTGAAGAAATTTCCTGTCACTTACTGTCCATTTGGCTCCCTGGGACTATCACAAGAAGTGGGCACCCAGACTTCAATAGGTACCCAGAGTACAAAGGCAAATAAGAAAATACAGTAGACACTTGAGCTTCCTTGACAGGACCAGAGGGAGTGTTAAGAGTAGCTTTAGGCAGTAATGTTACCCAAATGGTAATAGAAAGAGCTCCACTTTTCCAATCCACAATCACTTTCAGCATGACATAAGGCTGTGTTTCAGTATGACTGTTACTTATTGTCCATGAGTAGTCCAACGGAAGTTTATACCGAGAGGAAAATGTAGACGGTCTTTGCTGACCTACTAGTTTGCTATTTTTGTGACTACCAGTACCTTCAATACCTACTAAGTCACAGACCCTGAATAAGTCTGCAGTGACTAAAGTAAGAACACAGTTAGAACACTTCTAGTAATGCTAGTTGCATGGCTGTTTTGCTAATTTAAGGGCTTCAGTAATTTCTGAGAAATCAACCCAAAAGTAAAAACTCCACATTTAATGTTCTTTTAAATAGTTTGTTTAGACCAAGCTGGCCCAAACAAATTCTTTACTGCATTAACAGGTGCTCTTGCTAGGTGCACTATATCAGCCACATACAGTATACAGTGCTATGTTTGGGCATTAGTACAGAAGTGTACAAAATAGAGTCATGCCAAGCACCACTCAGCCATTAACAGGAAGATTGCATTCTATGAATAAATACAAAGTTTTCTCTGATTGGCTGAGGTGGAGATTGTGATATCATCTGCCCTCATGATGTCATCAGCCAAACAGAAAAAGCTTTGTATTTATTCATAGAATACAAAGCCATTGTAACCAGGTGCTTGGCTGGGATTGCAGATTGAGAGAAACACTGGCTACAGCTGCTCTCTGTGGCTGCTGTTATGAGGTGCTGAACTGGTTAACAGCTATATCAGCAAGAGGAGGGAGCTGCTAAGCAGTAAGAGTTCATTAGACTGAATCAGGTAGCACTGCACTGTGGGAACTGTAGTCAAGAGGAGAGAGACTCAAGAGCTTTTGAACTTCATTTCCCAGAGGGAGATTGCCAGGAGCAAGGGAAAGAGCTGCATTTTCTCAAGCTGTACAGGGCACAGCTTCCTATTGCCATGAGAGAGCCCGAAGAGTGCACAAGAGTGCAGACAGACTGAATCATCTGGATGCAGAGCAGAGAGTGCACTAATTGCTGTGTTTGACCAGATGGTAAGCTTCCACATTTCTGAGACTGGTGAACAGATGCTGTGGGGATTTACTATCTGATGCTAGAGAGACTGAGCCATTTAGGAACTAACCATGCACTCATCTAGTAGTCTAATTGTTGCCTGCAAGCTTGACTGGGACTATTCTCATGTGCACCAATGGTACAACTGGGCCCCAACACTAGCAGGCAGAAGAGTTGGGTCTAAAGACTGTCCCTTGACAGCTGTTACACAGAGACCTTTATCTATTGCTTATGTTAAGAGATACCCTTTGAGACACTGACAAAATATCCTAGCCTTTCTCCTAGAGTGCACTATAGACTAGTTATAGTATTATTATTCAGATTGTAGTTATGTTTACATACACTGTTACACTGTTTATTGCTGACTTTGCTTATTCATGAGTTAATCTCAGTCTAGTGGTACAGAACTCATTCTCAGCTACCTTGGCATAGTAATTATACTGTACTGTCTAGCACACTGTGTGTGAACCCCTACCTTCTGTGTGTTCATTTATGCTCAGACAACCATTAATTCTAACCCGTACCAATACACTGAGTTCATTTACCACCAAACAGTCGTGTGTCTATTTACTGGTGCTAATTCCCAGCCAAGTTAAAGGTATCTAAGCTTGTGCTCTTATGAATGTATGCAGTAACTTTCTGTGTCAGAGGGGCTGAGGTTGTTCTTGCAGTGGGCAGACATTGCAGTGGGGGAAATCATTCCAACAAGTATAAAGACAGCAATAAATACAATTTGTTTCAGAGATTTTTCCTCACTTCCTGTTCAGGTGATAGGTGTCATATAGAACTGGAAGTGAAAGGGAAATGGGAACATCACATAAAGCAGAACTCCAGCAAAAACTACAAGATATAAATGAATAGCCCATTGAAAGAAAAACAAAACAAAACCAGCTTTTGCTGCAATGTTCATTTTCAATCCTGAGATTTCCTCTGCAATACTTTTTGCTGCTGCTAGGTGTCCTCGGTCTAATGGCCAGCATCATTCAACCCAATTTCTGTGAATTCAGGTCATCCTGGACCAAACCCAGCCTGTGACTGGACCTTGAATACAGAAGCAGCATAGTGATGAGCTCATCTCTCTGTCACTCTGATTTCTCTTCCTATTCTTCCTATTAGTACATTCTTTGTCAGCACATGAACTGATTGGTTCTTTGTACTGCTTCTTCCTCATACACTCCAGTCCTTCTCTACAAGAACTGCAAGAGGCTGATACCAGTTCAAGTTTAGGTACTTAAACTGCTTGTATTAAAAAAAAAACTACTTCAAAACTTGAGATTTTAACCTTTCCTTGCTCTATCCAAAACTAAAAGAAATAAGTATACTTCTAGAGCATTGGTGCATAACAAAAATACACAATAATACAGACTTTTGTGCTTATTAAAATCTAAATGCAAGCTATACGATTAAAAGAAAAATGTCTGCAGCTCTAGAACCTGTGGGAACATCAACAGTTTAAATTCATTGTTGGTATGAAAAACAATATGGTGACACTATCTAAATAAGCTATTCTTTTATGACATGCCAAAAATAACATATTTATTTGATTAATAGACTTCATAGACAGCTTATATCCAAGCTTTTACTGTTAAAGTAACTTCATAAACTACAAAAAAATAAAAATAGGGGAAAAAGATCACCAAAATGACATGAAAAAGAAAGCAGAATGAGGAAGGGCTAAACATTGAGGACAGAGTTCAGACTGAATTGGGAAATACAGCAGATTTATTAATCACGATGAGAGTTATGCACAGCAATCAGAAATGTAGTTCTGGTAAATTCTCTGGGAAAGATTTGAATCATTATACACATACTGCTAGATGGGTACTTGTTTACTCTTCATTTGTAGAGGTGAGTGAACCTGCCCAGGTTCAAGTCACCAAGGGCTCATTCAATGCTGTTTGAAATTCATAAAACCCAATCCTAAAGACAAACCTTGCTAAAGTCTACGGGAGGCGAATCCTGCTAGTAAATTCTGGCAATTTTTAGGGCTAATCGGAAAGATATTGTCAAATAAGCTAGGCATTACCATGGGGATGTGCTCCAATGCAAATTGTAACAAGACCCTGCAGAGGGTGACAAGGGGCATATTGAGATTACAGAAATCCTTTAAATTACATTCTTCACAGCGGTACATGGTGTTATTAAACAATACGATTTTCATGGAAGTTACAAAATTTTGACTGTGGAATTGATTGTATACTCTACAATCAATTAACAATTAGCTTGGCATACATTCAACAACACCCCGATCTGATTCATTTCAGTTGGAAAGATAAGCATTTCTTCATGTAGTTTTAGCAGCCACACATGATTTTATAACCTATAGTAATAGCATACTTCCCAAAGTTTGAACTGGAAAATAAGGGGCACTTCAGGGGGATGCACCATGGGAAAAAGTGATTGTTAGGAAGGGGCACCCCCTGGGCACCCCAGGATGAGTAGTAAAGTGGTGTGCGCACCACATGGTGGCAAAGAGTGAATGTGTTCAAGTTGTTAACAGTGGGGGGGGCTTAAGGGGGATGATCTGATTAACCACCTCCCGCTCACCATATAGTAATATGACGGGAGCAAGGTGGCTCTCTCATTCTGGGAGGATGTCATTTGGCGTCCTCCCATTCTCACTGTGCATGCGCGGCTCAGGGAGCGCGCAGCACAGCAATCGGCGGTGCGCTGTGTCCCTCGGACACAGCGGATCAATGATCACGGAAAGAGCCAAATATGTCAGCTCGGTCATGTGATCAGCTGTGTCCAATCACAGCTGGTCACATGTATACAGGGAAATGCCGGTTATCGGCATTTCTCTCCTCTCGAGCTGTCACGCTGACAGCTCGAGAGGAGAGGAGAGCCGGTAATCGGCTTTCCGCGGAGGGGACATGTATACTGATCATCAGGGCACTGATGATCAGTGTGCCCTGATGATCAGTGTGGCCCCAGAAGTGCCACCTGTCAGTGTCCATCAGTGCCAGCAGTCAGTGCTCATCAGTGCCACATGCCAGTACCCATCAGTGGCACATCAGTGCCACATATCAGTACCTACCAGTGCACATCAATGCCACATATCAGTGCCCATCTGAGCTGCCTTTCAGTGTCACCCATCAGTGCCAGTCAGTGCCAGTCAGTCCCACCTAACAGTGCCAGTCAGTGTCGCCTAACGGTGCCAGTCACTGCCGCCTATCAGTGCCGCCTATCAGTGCCATATATCAGTGCCATGTATCAGTGCTGCCTTTCAGTGCCCATCAGTGATGCCTGTCAATGCCCACCTACCAGTACCTCCTCATCAGTGCCCATCAGTGCCACCTATCAGTGTCCATCAGTGCAGCCTCTCAGTGCTCATCACTGCAGCCTCATTAGCGCACATCAGTGAAGGAGAAAAATCACTTATTTACAAAATTTTATAACAAAAACTAAGAAAAAACATTTTTTTTTCAAAATTTTCAGTGTTTTTTGGTTTGTTTAAGAAAAAATAAAAAACCCAGAGGTGATTAAATACCACCAAAATAAAGCTCTATCTGTCATAGAAAAATAATAAAAATGTCATGTAGGTACAGTGTTGCATGACCGCGCAATTGTCATTCAAAGTGCGACAGCGCTAAAAGCTGGAAATTGGCCTGGGCAGGAAGGGGGTATAAGTGCCCTGTAGGCTAGTGGTTAAACAAAACCTGGGTTTCCCTGTACCTATACAATTTCCCCACATATTCAGCAGGGAAAAGCAGTTTAACCTAACATAACATAAAGGCCCTATCAACATATAGTAAAAAAAATACCACCAGAATCAATATAGTCCCCAAAATACCACTCCCTGAAACCCAAATGTTTCCATTAAAGTGAATAAAAAATATATGAAGCAAACATACCTGGGTTTGTTCAAGTTCTGTTCAACAAACATTGCTAAAGTTCAAGTACTAAACCTGAATGCCATTGAAATAATTGGAAGCCAAAAAGCAATGGTCATTTTCAAGACTAATAGGCAAGGGATTGTCAAACAAATGCCATGGGGGGGCTGGGCACTGCCCTGAGGAACAGGTATGCATGCTCGGATTAAGGGCTTGGTATGGGTTTTTAGGGGAACCTCATGCTTTTTTTTATTTTTTTTTTGCATGGGGATTCCCTTTAAAATCTATACTAGACTGAAAGGGTACCCCCAAACCAGACTAGGATTTACATTGTGGAACTTTTTTTAATAAAAGAGCTGTTAGAAAAGTTTAAGTACGTTTACATTTTTTGTGAATGAGTATGGGTGCTATCTTCCTCTTACACATTCACATAGAGGGGCTGGTATCTGTGGCCTCTTTATTGTTAAAGAGGGGTTGCAGATTCCAATAAGCCCCCCGCCCACAGCATTATGTAACCACTGGGCCAGGGTGGTGGGGAAGAGGCTCTTTTCCTCATCAACTTGCAGGCAAGACAGCGGTCTTGCTATGTTGAGGGCATATGATCGGACTTCATTCAGGTAGGGGGCTTACACTTGTCCTCCTTCCTTTCCTGATCAGCCATGGTGCATGCTTGGCTCATTTTCTTGTGTGGATTTTAGGGGAGTCCTCATGTTTTTATTTCTCTTGATTTTTGTGTGGAGTTCCCTCTATAATCCATACTGGACATGATGGGTCTGGTATAAATATTAGGGGTGCCATGCCGATTATTTGTTTTTTTTTTGCCCATTTCATGTCCATTTGTTTATGTTTCCAGGTAACAGTTGCATAGGCTGTCTAGAATGACTCATGACTGTTAAGACGTCGATGGGTGCTGGCTGAGGGAACTATCCTGAGGAGTAGTAATAATACTGCTACTGTTTCACTTCCCCTGGCCACCAGAGATTTCAACTTGACTGAACACCAATTTAGCTGGGCATCCAAACAAGAAAAATTTGGTCTGAACCGGCAGCTTATCTCTACTGTTGAGTTCAAATAAACCAAAAATAAAATTATATACAAAAAAAAAACACAAACGATAACAACAATAAGAACAACAACACAAATTGTTAGTTGACCTTTACAGAAAAAAGATACATTAACACCAGACACCCTTCCCACCCCAATACTCCAGTCCATAGGGTATGCAGAGGTATGTAAACAGCGTTTGCATAACACTTGTTAGGGTGTAAGTATCTTTATCACCACTCCACCATGCAGAAAAAGTTAATTAATTTATCCACACAGAAGGGAGGAACGACAATTGATACGTTATATGACTCAGTTTGATAGCTTTTTGGCCATTGACAAATATTGGCCTTTTTATTTATGACAATAGTATCCTTATCTAGTGTGAAAGGGCTGTCCCCTGTCACATAGTCAGAAGGGTTAGATGTCACCCAGAGTTCTCACTTATGCAGGATGTTTGTTCTAAGTGGAGAAAACTGGTTCTGTATTTTTTCTTTCAGGATAGGTAACTCCTGGATTGGGTTCTGGAGCTCAGAGGCATTTTAGAGGGTTGAGAGGGGAGACACCTCTACCCTGGGTCCACAATTTACACATGGTCACAGACATTTTAGTATTAGAATGGTCTATGGTTCAGGGCTCCTTCTTGTGCGAACAGACACTGGAAGAGTGTCTTCTGGCCTCAAGGCTGTCAACTGAGAGGTATTAGGAGACTGTGGGGTAGATTTTCTTGTGCACTCATAATCTGGTACAGCTGTGCATGGTAGCCAATCAGCTTCTAACTTCAGCTTGTTCAATAAAACCTGTAAGCTGATTGGTTTCTATGCAGAGATGCACCAGATTTTGCCCTTTTCAGTTTTAGTAAAAAAATCCCCTGTGTGTAATTAGGCAGGAGCCTGTGCAGCCCCATGTTGGGTTGCTTGTTTGTTACAAAGCTGAATGAGATAATATCGTAAGTCTGTATGGAATAATATCGTAAGTCTGTATGGAAACAGATTCAGGGACTACACAGTCCAGATTGCCAAGGGGCTGGGGAATCTTTATTTGTCATTGTGATGCTGAAATCCTCTGTAAGGGTAACCCTTTCTGTCATTTTTGAATTTTAGGCTACAAAAAAGTGAACAAAAAGCCCTGAAACATACTTCACTGGCTGAACTGAAGTCCATGAAAGACAATACACTTGAACTCAACTGCACACTAGTTTAAAATCTTCACCTCTGACATTGCACTCATAAATACCAAGCATGTGCATGCTTGGCAATAGTAATGAGACAAGTTATGCTTTCCTACCTAAGAAGGGGTTGGGGGGGGGGGTGGGGTGAGTATGAACACTTTACAGTTTATAAAAAAAAAAAAGAAGTAAGTTAGGTATCCAAGTAAAAGGGGGTAAAAAGGGGAAAAATAAAAACATATATTAATAATGTAAGAAAAGAGTCAACAGTAAAAAAAAATATGTAAAGTGTTTAAATCCACAACAGTAAAATCAGTCTGTAAAAGCAGTTAAGCATGCTTCATATACTCACTGTGGAACCGAAGGGGTTAATCCCCTCTATTGTGTAAAAAGGCTGTTTGAACCTGGCTTCTCTGATCCTCCCCTTCTTCCATTGTCCCCGACTCATCTCCTGTTTTTGGAGTCACTCTGCACATGCTCAGCTTAGTGTGTATGTGCTAGAGAGTTCATTTTTCCCTTTGGGAGAGTGCATGTGATCAGCACAAGGCCAATCAGCACTGTCCAGAAAGAGGGTCAGGGGTTATGCAGCCTCATAGGGCAGTCATAGGAGAATGAAAACCCCTTCTAGAAGCTTTAACCAGTGCTTAGCTAGACACTGATCGAAGTCACAAGACTGCTCTAACTGCTGATGAGAAAAGGAATTTAGCAGTTTATATTTACTAAAATAATTGCATTTCCATGTTCTGTGTACTGTGGGAGACCAGATATAGTGAATGCAGGTCCTGGGTTTAGTAACACTTTAAGTATAGGTTATATATTTGCAGACATGGCAAGATTACATTCCAGAAATAAGCAATAACCACTAGAACCACTATCAAATATATATTTTATAAAAAAAAAAAAAAAAATATATATCTCAATTATATATATATATATATATACCGTTGCAAGAAAAAGTATGTGAACCCCTTGGGATTACGTGGAGTTTTGCATGAATTGGGCATAAAATGTGCTCTGAACGTCATCTAAGTCACAACAATAGAAGAACACAGTCTGCTGAACATAATACTACACAAACATTAGATGCTGCCATGGTTTAATTGCACATAACATGTAAACATTCACAGTGCAGGGAGGAAAAAGTATGTGAACCTTTGGACTTAATAACTGGTTAACCCTCCTTTGGCAGCAATAACCTCAACCAAACGTTTCCTGTAGTTGCAGATCAGACCTGCACAACGATCTGGAGTAATTTTGGACCACTCCTCTTCACAAAACTGTTTCAGTGTAGCAATATTCTTGGGATGTCTGGTGTGAATCGCTCTCTTAAGGTCATGCCACAGCATTTCAATCGGGTTGAGGTTAGGACTCTGACTGGGACACTCCAGAAGGCGTATTCTGTGCTGTTGCAGCCATTGTTTTGTTGAATTACTTGTATGCTTTGGGTCATTGTCCTGTTGCATCACCCATCCTCTGCGGAGCTTCAGTTGGCGGATAGATGGTCGTACGTTTTCCTGCAAAATGTCTTGATAAACTCTAGAATTCATTTTCCCATCAATGACAACAATCCGTCCAGGCCCTGAGACAGCAAAGCAGCCCCAAACCATGATGCTCCCTCCGCCATGTTTTACAGTGGGGATGAGGTTTTGATGTTGGTGTGCTGTGCCTTTTTTTCTCCACACATAGTGTTGTCTGTTCTTCCCAAACAACTCAATCTTGGTTTCATCTGTTCACAGTATATTTTGCCAGTAGTGCTGTGGAACATCCAGGTGCTCTTTTGTACACTTCAAACGTGCTGTAATATTCTTTTTGGACAGCAATGGCTTCCTCCGTGGTGTCCTCCCATGTACTCCATTCTTGTTTAATGTTTTCCTTATTGTAGATGTGTCAACAAAAATGTTAGCATGTGCCAGAGATTTCTGTAGGTCTTTAGCTGACACTCTGGGATTCTTCTTTACCTCATGCAGCATTCTGCACTGTGCTCTTGCAGTCATTTTTACAGGACGACCACACCTAGGGAGAGTAGCAACAGTGCTAAACTTTCTTCATTTGTAGACAGTCTGTCTTACCGTGAACACATGAACAACAAGGCTTTTGGAGATACTAT